AATCCAAAATCAGTGTATTTTATTATTACCACGGACAGCACTCCCAATTTGTCCCACAGCGGTCAAATTACTTTCATTTTTTGTTTTTTGCATCTCAGTGATAATTAGTTGAAGGAGCTTAAAGAAAGGTTTCTTTAGCTAATATAACTTGAATAAAGAAAGGATCTGATATAACAAAACTGATATTAAATGTGTTGGAAGAGAATGAGTTCAACATAAAATATTGTCGTGTTTAATGCCACGACAATGGTGGTAATATGTCAGGTATTATATAGGCAGAATAATTTACAAGCAATTTTCATTCCTTCTTCTACTCACAGTTTGAACCTATGTGCAGTGCACGCTATTAAATCATCGGCTCCAGCAAAATCCTATTTTGAAAATATTCAAAAACTATACAATCTGTTCAGCTGCAGCCTAGTTCGTTGGAGGAGGAGACAAGCCAATAATTACATAAACTTTTTGTTACACAATAGAGCTCAAAGATTAAAGCAGTCAAGCCACAAGCGAAAAAAGCCAAGAGAGATATCAAAATCATTATATCTTCTAAAAGAGATAGACCTTCCATGCGAAAGTAGTAATAAAGTGCGTTATCTAATAAAATGAATAAATTCTTTTGATTTTTTTGTTGAATAAATTCTTTTGATTTCTTTGCAACTTTTTTTGAGGCAACAAAAGTTGCAAAGAAATCAAAATTAAATGCAATTATGTTTGCTGTAAAGAAAACGCAAAAAGAAGGTTATTCCTGAAGAAACTGCTAGTTACAACGAAGAAGCATCATAAAACTTTTTATATAATATCTTCAATGAACACACAAATCAAATAAGATTTAAAGAAATATAACAAGTTTTCTTTTAACAAAAATCTCGAACAGATAGAGAAATAGGTTTAAAAGCTGATAATCTGGCTAAACTTTACCCAGAAGACTTATGTAAAAACGAATTTTCTGATTAAGTTTGGAATTTTTTTTCCGTAACAAGAAATATTCTAGCCGGCGAAAAGCCAATTCATATTTTAAATGAGGTTTATGCAAAGATATTTTCACAATGGATAAGAAGCAATTGTGCTACTTGATAATCCTT